AAATGGAGGAGGCATGATTTCTTCTTCCTTATTAGATAGGCTAGTATAGCTGTACATATTAGTGTCCCGCATTTGACTAGTGTGAAGTACTCATTGTAAAGACATGTATATTAACAGATATAAGTATAAGGTGTAAAAGCAGCCACTCATTCCCATAAAATCTTTCTCTCGTGTTCTATTTCTTACATGGTATCAGAGCGAGGTTAATTAGTTTATGCACAGTTACCAACAACTTTCGGTAGAAAGAAAGACTGTTGCCGTGCAATTTTCTGACAACCATGAGTGTTGTTTCCATTGTCCTCTATTTTCGTGTGCTGTGAATAAACCAGCAAAGGAGTTGCAGAAAAGGAGTTGCGACGCGCTCCCCCACACCCGGCACAAGCAGATTGTCCCGCGAGATCTATCTCACACACCAAACGCGTGAGCCATTTCCGTCCACTTTCAGACTTGTACCTTTGGTCTTTGAGGTCGCCTGGATAGTTTGAGGCCATCCATACTATTTTCTGCAATTTCAGACCACCAGAAGTAGGTTTGTAGTAGTTCAGTCACTTCTCCGCGATCTCCCTTTTCCGGCAACATCTCTGCCTTTCTCTTACATTGTGGGGCTTGGCTAAGACCTTTGCATCCTTCCCTCCAACTTTCTGCAAAGCCACCTTCAAACGACCAGCAGTCCTCTATTCACTTTCTGGTTAGTTTTTCCATAAATTAGTATTGTTTTTTTATAACCTCCATAAATTAGATAATGTTCTTTGAAAAATATGCTTTAGTCAGCCTTCTTGGTTATTATCTTGTGGAAATTTGCTAATTTTCAGAACACTCTTCAATCCAACATTATGTCGCTTGGTTTTGATGTTTTCGGTCCAAAAACACCGGAGTCGGAAACTTGATCCATGATTACTTCAAAACCTTTAGATGGAGGTTTTAACTATTTAGCTTGGGCTACTTCTATTGAGTTATCCTGTAAGGTTAAGGTGCCAAAGATCACCTAACTAAAAAGGCTACAAAAGTTGATGAAAAGGTCCGAGCACATTAGAAAAAGGTTGATGCTCAGTTATGCAGTTATGCAGTTATTTGTCGCGCTCTATTGATCCTAAGCTGATGGACTTGTTTTGACTATTCCAAACTTGTTATTTGGTTTGGAAAAACAGTCATGCTTTATATAGTAACTATGTTTCCTGCCTTTATGATGTTGTTTTCAGAATGACTAATTTGAAAAGGCAGGAATTAGGCATGTCTACTTATTTGGGACAAGTTCTGGCAGTTATGGAGGATCTTAATAACTTAATGCAAGTTACTGCGAGTTTTGAGGAACAGTTGGAATAGTGACAGAAGATGTTCTTAGTTCTTACACTTGTTGGGCTTCCAAGTGATCGTAACTCAATGCGAGATCAAATTTTAGCTAATCCAACTATTCCTATAGTAGATGAGGTGGTCTTTTGGTTACCCCTCCTAGGTCACACAGTGATCCCCTCACCATCATTGGATTCTTCTGTTTTCGCGTCATAGACTGTGGGGAATCAAGGTGGAAGTCATTTTGGAAAGTCTCGACTTAAAACAGTCTCCTCGAGTATGGTTTACCAAGTTTAGCACAGTTATACAAGAGTTTGGCATGACATGGAGCGAAACTGATCAATATGTATTTTATCGACACTCTCACTCGGAAGTGTGTATCTCTTTGGTAGTCTCTATAGTTATCACAAACGGTAATTAAGAGGGCAGTGAAAGCTTGAAGCAACATCCCTCTCAGAATTTTCATACCAACGACCTAGGTAAATTACAATACTTCTTAGGTATTGAAGCAGCTCAGTCCAGATCAGACATTGCCATTTCACAGCACAAGAATGCTCTGGACTGAGCTGCTTCAATACCTAAGAAGTATTGTAATTTACCTAGGTCGTTGGTATGAAAATTCTGAGAGGGATGTTGCTTCAAGCTTTCACTGCCCTCTTAATTACCGTTAGTGATAATTAAGGAAACAGGGATGACATACTTAAGGAAACAGGGATGACAAACTATAGACCTACTGATACTTCTATGGATCCGAAAAGTCAAGCTTTTGCCAGGTACCAGGAGCCTCAGTGACGCTGGGAGATATAGGAGATTAGTTGGAAAACTGAATTATCTCACTGTAATATGCCCTGTTATCGCCTTTTCAGTGAGTAACGTCAGTCAGATTCTAAATTCTCCATGTGTAGCTCCTTGGAATACAATAGTCTGTATTCTTCGGTAAAGAAAAGGGCTACTTTATGAGAATCGAGGACATGAGAAGATTGTTAGGGATACAGATGCTTCACCCTCTCCCGCTCTACCTCTGGAGATCGAATTCTTGTTAATAGCAATTTAGTGTCTCGGAAGGGCAAGAAACAAAGTTTGGTTGCAAGATCCAGTGCTGGAGTTGAATATAGAGATATGACAGCTGCGACTTGTGAAAACATATGGATCAGACAACTATTGAAAGTACTGAAGTTTGGAGAAACCACTCAAATGGAACTTGTTTGTGATAATCAAATGCATCCCATATTTGCTTCAAACCCAGTATTCCATGAGAGGATCAAGCACATAGAGATTAATTGTTACTTCGTCAGAAAAAGATATTCTCAGGAATACTGTCACGACATTTGTAAGGTCCAATGATCTACTTGCAGACATATTTACCAAATTTCTTGCAGATCCTCGAGTTAGCTATATATGTACAAACTCGGCATATAAAATGTCTATCAACTCTTGGGGACGAGTGTTAGACAGGCCAATATAGTTGTACACATTAGTGACCCACATTGAACAAGTGTAAAGTACTCATTATAAAGACACATATATAAATAGGTAAAAGTGTAAGCTGTAAAATTCACGCAGTCGGCAGTCCCATAAAGTCTTTCTCCATATTCCATTACTTACATTCCTAATCTGATTCCCCACTTTTCCTGCCAATGCTTCTTCTTCTATACATCAAATTCCTCCTCTTCCCTTATTTCTCTCAGATTTACTTGCTTTTGCAGCTAACTTTTCCTTCTTTTTCTCCTCAGTCCTCAGTAATGTGAATATTAAGACTGAAGTCATGCGCATAAGATCGTATTCTGTGGGAAACAATGACTGTAGGAAACCTCCCTGTAGCTTTTGTAAGCTTTTGATAACATAGCATACAATTAATCAACCTCCTAATATCTAGCCACTGTATGCCTGTTTAGAAGAGTTATAATACCCCAAACCATGAACGAGATAATCAGCTTTAGAATAATGTGAGATAATAATCAGCCAGAAAACTTCCACTTTTGCAAATTCACCGCTTTATTTGTTTCTCTGTTTTTATTCCCTAACTTTCTAAGTATTATTTATGTTCTTAATCCATTTTTCAATATTCACCAAACTCTTTCTTCTAGTTAATCTGGCGTAAACCCAGTAGTAATTCATTCTACTTGAAGTATTGCTTCTTCCTCTACTTCTACTTTTGTATTTAATCTTCTCCTCGTTAACTCTTCGCTTTCACCTTAACATCCAAAGTAGTATGAAAATGAAAAAACAAAAAAATAAAAAATAAAGCAGCTAAACTTTTTTCTGGGGCGAACAGTTGAGAGAAAAACTTGCAACTGTAATGACAGAGGACTGGAAGCTGCAAATTAGTCTGGTGAGGAATAAAATGATAGGAAATGGAATGAAATAGTGTTAAATTGTTAAATTCCAAAAAGTCCCTCTGTTTTAGTAACTCCTTCACCAGGAGTCAACCTTTAAGAAAGTGTAAAATGCGCGTATTGGCGTCCAAGAAAACATAGAAAAGAAGAGAGTTTTGTGGGCATGTCAAAAGTGGAAAATTAGTAGCCACTGGAGCAATTTATTCATGAGAAATAATGAAGAGCAAAAACAAAAGAGCGTAACTGCTTTTCACGCGTTACTGATAGTACAACAACAACAACAGCAACTACACATCAGTGCCAAACAAAGTTGGGGTCGATGATATGAATCCTCACTTCTTTCTTTAAGCTCAACTCATACATGGGCTGCTCTACGGCTAGGCCACTGAGGCTGTTGCCTTAGGCCCCCAAAATTTGAAGGCCCCAAATTTTCTTCACTCATTAATTAGTATATTTGCTTCACTCTTCAATTTTAATTTTATCCTTTTTATATAGGAATTAAGTTATATACATCGACAACACAATGAATTTCTTTTACAATCTTCTCTGAAATTGCATGAACATAAAAGCATTCATACACCGGTTTCCTTTTATTGTAATTCAACATATTATATTAGACTATTTATAATTTATTTTAGATATTCACTAATGAGTGCCAATTACCCTTTAAATTGATCAGAAGGTGTAAATATTTTTGACACTGTTAATGCTCAAAACTTAAATTATCATGTTATGTAGATTCATTTCTTTTACTAGTTTGTAATGATAGTCAAATCAAAACTTTCACTTTGAGTTCCAAACCTCAACATCCAATAATCTACCATTTTATTCTTTGTGCTCTTCTTCCTCCTTTTTTTTTTTTTTTTGAAATTTGCTTTTTTTTGTCTTAAAGGATTAATTTAGAAAGCAATTTTTTTTTGTTAGTGTACAAATTTTATAATTAAAAATTTAAGGGCCTCTCAATATGGTTTTGCCTTAGGCCACAAGATCCGTTGAGCCACCACCCCTAAACTCATATCATCATCATGCCAAACTAAAATAAGAGTATTAGTGAAAATAAGTTTTAAACATATATATATATATATATATATATATATATAAAACTTAATATTAAAAGTTCTCTAACAAATTTACAGTCTATTCCTAACTAGTAGCATCACCTATATGGAGTTTTTTCTTCCATTGTGCTCTATCTTTAGCTAAGTGTGCATAAATTCCAAGGATTTGTAGGTCTTTCAAGACAACTTCCTTCCATGTGGTTTTAGGTCTACCTCGTCCTCTTTTAACACCTTCACTCACCATAGTTTCACACCTAGAGACCGGTGCATCGGTAGGGCGACGCAAGACATGACCAAAGCATCTCAAGTGACCTTCTCAATTTTTTTCCTCAATATGTGCTACTTGTACCTTCTGGCGAATGTGGTCATTTTTAATCTTATCTAATCTGTATGACCGCACGTCCATCTTAGCATCCGCATCTCTGCAACACTCATTTTGTGGATATGTTGGACTTTAGCAGCTCAGCATTTACTATCATATAACATTGTCAGTCTTATAGTGTGACTGATAGGACATTTGGAGAAATTTAGAAGGCGGCTTTAAATGTAGATCAGGCCATGATTTTCTTTTCAAAATATTTCACTTAGGCTAAATATATCATAAAGGTGGTGGAGCACTAGAAGGGAGAAGAACGGAGAAATAGGAGAACTGGAGAAAATAGAGAGAAAGAAGAGTAGAATGAATGAGAGATGGAGACAAAAAGAGAAGAATGAGAAAACGGAGAGGAAGAGAGGGAAAGTGTGTGCCTAGTGGTCAATGAAGTGGGTTAAAAATCATAAGGTCTCAGGTTCAAATCCTAGCAAAGACAAAAGCACTAAGTGATTTCTTCCCATTTGTCCAAACCTCTGTGTTGGTACGAGGTAGCAGGTACCTCGTGGAATTAGTCGAAGTGCGTGCAAGATGGCCCAGACACCAATGTTATCAAAAAAGAAGAGAGGAAAAGAGGGAAAAATAGGAAAAAAACAGGGAGACAGACTAGCAGAAAGAGGGAGTAAGAAGGATCTAATACCGAATTAAATCATTTTGTTCAACTCCTCTTCAACAAGAACACAAGCGTCCTATTCATAGAATATGACTTCTTAATAGTCAGATCTCCTAAAACAAATAAAACTATATTGTTAACTAGAAGATGAAGACTACCTAGATAAATTCTCATCTCTAAGATAAGATTATCTTACTTTATTTCTAATTACTAGATAAATATAAATAATATCCTCATGATCTACATCAATAGGTGATTAACTCAGCATGACGAATAATCTCCTCAGAGGTTACCTAACTACTTCAAGTTCTGAACATTTGCTCGCACTTAAATGTAACAGCTGTGATCATTTATCCAGAATAGAGAACTAAGTTGGTTGAGAGGCTTCTTAAATCTACTTAAACAAGATGTTGTATGAAGAATGCACACAAGCTCAAAAGAACAACATATGGTCTTGCAAATATTATCAATCAACTCCAACTCAGTCAATTGACAGTGGTAGTTAATTTTCAAATTTTGTCAAAAGCATGTAAAAGCACCTCAACATTTATATTTTGAACTCAGCAGAACTAATCAAAAGCAATGAAGCTGCTTGGATTATGCTCTTGACACCTATGTTGCCCGAACTCTCCGAAAATGTTGCAGGGTGCGTGTCGGATCCTCGAAAATAGTGTATTTCCGGAGGATCCGACACGGGTGCGGCATCATTTTGGAGAGTCCGCGCAACATCTTGACACTATAGCTCATCCATGGAAGGATACATATTTTTCCTCCTTTTTTTGCCCCTACAGCCAAGTCAGATGATGAAAATATGCTTTCCCGAGATTGTGAATCAAGGTATTTTCAGTTTGAAGCTAACTGCCACAAAGTGCAACATGAATGGACAACTATATCAGGAAAATACACCAACCAATAAAAGATGTTCTAGGCTTTCAGATTAGCCAGATTAGTAAATGAATGAGTTATCGGGAAATTACCCATTCTATGATCTTAGGACTCCAAGTTGGACGGAACTGTATGGGGTGTTTGAATGTATAGATGGTAGAGGTTAAGCACCAATCTTGCCATTTTGTGGTCTGCAAAGCTTTCCATCCTTACGATGCCACTCAAATCTTATCGACAGAGAGCTGCATCTTATAATCACCATTAAGATGTGCCTGAACTCCAAGTAGGGAATTCTTAGAAAACATGCTCAAAATCAAACACAAATTGAGGGATAGTACAGCTGCCTGAACCACTTAGCAAGCGAAACTGCAATAAGATAAATAGACAGGCTGCTATGTTTTTCGTTATACAGCACATAAGCTGTATTTAAATGGCAATGACGATTATGCATGGACATGAAGAACAGTATAATGCAAGATAGAGGATAGAAAGAGAGAGTTACTGGTAGAAATTAATTGATAACTGTTCAATCACCCAACCCCTTTTTCTCCTAATCCTTATGAATTTAGGAAAGCTTCGTCGCAGCTAGATTAGATGAGTTATTGTATCTCAAATAAGAGAAGATCCAAGAACTGAAAGCAGGCTGCACATAATATTTTCACTTAAGATTTTGTGCACTAACATCTTTCATGAGGTGACACAAAGTAAATTGACTTATAAGATTAAACTGAGACCAAAAGACGAGTAAACTTAAGATGAACCACAAAGAGTGTTGCTTTATCATAAACCTAGTCACCCTTACCATTGCATTATGAGAAGAACATCCAGAAGAAATCAATGGATGGGTATGCTCCTTCACGAATCTCGTCACAACCCACTTATCAGACTTGTTAACCTTTACCAACATCATTGCCTTGCACCCTTCTCGTGTGCTAGTGCGTGTTTTTCTAGGTGGTCCATAATGGTTTTTCATTTTCACGTAATAGCCTTGCTTGTTACATGAAAGTCGCCGTGAAAGGATTCTCTTGTCGACTTCTGAACGCCGGCATTGATCAATGCGCATGATAAACCCAACACGCTTAGCATAGTCATCATAAAATCCTTTGGCAGCATCTTCTGATTCGAACTCCATTCCAATAAATGGCTCCCTAACCACATTATCCTCACATGTAACTAACTGGCTTTCAGCAGAACAATCTATTGTAGCAGCTCCAGCCTCTAAGTCCACTGCCACACCGAAATGATGCACATTATCCAATAAGACATTGCTCTTTTCATAAACCAAACATCACCCAAAGTTTTAAAAAAAAAATTCAAAAATGTCTTCTCCAGTACAGGATCAGATGCATTATATTAGGTACCAAGTTTACACCCAATCCAATAAAGAAGTAGTGGGACCTAGTAATCCTTCCTACCAACAGACTTAAAATCATTGATCAGCCCGCCCATGTATATGCCCCAATAAAGCTGTTGGTCAGAAACATCCTATTGTACGCAGAATCCAGCCAGGAAACGAAGCACAGTGTATATATGTATACGTCCGTGTCTATGTGTTCAACAAGCACTTGTTAAGAGAAAATATTAGAAACAATAGATATGTAAAGGTTCACAAAACACTTGTCTACCATCTTTTAACTGAACCGTTTAGAAAGGTATATAATCTGCATGTTCATGAACTAAAGTTGAGCTTGCACAATTCTTTCACCGTTTAGAGTTAAATTATATTTCCATCCAAATAACTACAAAAGCTTTCAGCGTAAGTCCTGCCGTTAAACAACTACATAACAATTTAAAAGGTCCAACAATTATCAGCTTTTTTTCATCCTTCTCAGTATTAAGTTAGCTAGCTACTTCAATTCTTAAATTAACAAATTCAAATAGTCCATTTGCAAAGGGAAGAAAACAAAACAGAGAACCCCTAAAAAGACTTACTAGTATGGACAACGGAAGTCGGATTTTGATGGAAAAAACAGCCGATGATGCTCCACTTGGGACCAAACGAAAAGGGTTTATGGTCGTTGAAGCTTCAATTTGGATTTCGGACGTTTCTTCTCCCGATTCAGGCTCTTCTTCGTGAAACACACATTGTTCATTGGCGCGTGACAAAGAAAATTCACTATTTAAAATGGAATATTTATAATATAGGGACAGGACACAGGAGTGACATTGTCCCAGGAAGAGTCCAACGAAAAATCCGAAAGAATTAGGAGTATATTAAAAAATACTCAGGTTCCAATTTATGTGTATGTGAATCTGGACACGGAGATTAAGAAAAAAAATTAAAGATTTTTAAAACTTGTGGTCCTAAATAACTCAAAATATTTATATGACTATAATTTTTTTGAAACTTGTGATATTAAATATATGTATTTATAAAAGTTTTTTATTAAGAGTAAAATTATAAATTTAAATTAAATTATTTTCAAATTTAGAAAGTAAACGAATAGTTGTTAATCTACAAAATCAGACACATAAATTAAAGAAAGAATTACAGCTGACTCTGTATTATAACCAAAAGTAACCCACATTTTTAAGTCTTATATCCAACCTAGTCTATATCGTAGATACTTTGAAAGCACTATCAAAGGCATACCGATAACCACTGTTAAAATTTGAAAACTTTTCTACTACTTGTAAGCTTCAAAAAGTAACAAAACACTCGAGAATAATAAAGTTAAAGGCATGAAATCTTTAAACAACATATATTCGGTCTAGACCAATGCTAATGACCATATTAATTAAAGCGTGTGGCAGTTTATTACATCACTTAAAGCAATAAACTGCGAATGTCTTACGCTCAGGATGAATTAATCTCTTATTTTGTTGGCGGAGATCATAGGGCATTGGATAGCAGATCGTCATTGGGATTCCTGTTAGAGGATAGTTAAAATTAAAAAGTTAAAAACTTCACTACTGAGGTTTTTAATAGCGTGAAAACTTACAAATGGGTTTTGTAATTTGTTGAAAATTTGACTAATTGATGATTGGTATTCGTTGGGATTTGAAATTGTGGTTAAAATCTGAAGCTATTCGATGAAGATTTGAGGTTTTTAGTGATATTCTTTGTGAGCAAAAATTCAGAAGAGACGAAACTCGGTTTTTGTATACGACATTATATAATATTTTAATAAGTATATGATATTGTATAATGTGTATATCGAGTGTGTAAATATTGTTGCAAGAAAATAATAGGCTATCCGACTGTAATGCAAGAAAAAATAAGTGTGTTATGCTATTAACATTTAGCCACTTCTTTCGTGCGAAATAATATTTGGACAAAAATATTTCTATTTGAAACATAGAATAACTCCGGCAGTCGGTGCTCAATTTTGAAACTTTGATAAGTAAAACTTCAGTATACTGTTATGAAGTACAACAATTCACTATCCCAGTACTATATACCGGAGTTCAAAATAGATCTGAGTTCCAATTCCATGGGTCACTTCTTCGTTGAGGATCCTATGCCTTTCCTTCTATGCTTTCTTCTTTCCCTCTTATGTATGAATAAATTGCCACAATTTTCATATATCTGGGCCTCTTCCGTTTGATCATCTTTCTCGCTAAAAGTATTCCTTTTGTTAATTCCTTTCCCGTTTTCAATAAATTCGTCACGAATCACCATAAACGAAGTCTCCGGTCCTTGAGTTTCCAAGAAAAGAAGTTTTCCAATTTAATTTTGTGCCAAAACTTCTTTGGTTTCTATAAGACTAGATGTAGCCCATGCCAGCACGGGCCCAATGACCTGTTAGTGTTTTTGTCTTACTACTACCCTATTGTTTTGGAATTTCACAACATTCGAATGCAATTACTGACAAGGAAAAAGTAAAAGGATCAGGATCCCTGCAAAGTAATCGCCAAGGACTACAGTTCCTAGCAGGACTTGCCCGAGCATCGGCCTAACATGAGTGATTTTTCTTTCTTTCTTTTCAAACATGAGTTAGATTTATTTTTGAGGTCTGGCTCCAAGCGTGGTCAAAGATGGTCAACCCTTATAAGATACCCATATAGTATAAAAGATACAATCATATATCACATAGTTAAAGTATAAGGTATAACCACATAGTTAAAGTCAGATAAATATTTTTTATGTACTATCATTTTAATATCTTTACACAAACTTAAGTCCATCAAACGCTAAATAAATCTTCAGAATTTCAAAGGGCATTTACGTTCGGCAGATTACTCGCATTATATTTCTTTGTGGACTTTGCCGATATATCTGTTGCACACAAATGATGAAGTAACAAGTTGTAGTCTCCTCCATTCCCCGCAACATTATTAATATATTAGAACAATTACTATGTCAATTAAAAAATTAAGATTGTCACCTAAGATTACTACATTTAACCATCAGTTTTGCTGGCTTAAACATCTGAAAACTAAAGTGTTCCTTGTTTGGGGTGATTTGCATTCTTCAAAAGTAAAATATAGCGTTGACAACATTGAAGCTAAGGCTCTCAACCACTTTGGTCATTTTTTGATAATGTTCTCTACGCACTTAGTCCCCTATTGACCTCACAACTACTTTTGTATTGACAATAGGAATAGCAAGTGTGTGTATGTGTTCATCCAGCACCATTAAAAAGTGAGCAAGCGTACGTTGTGGCAAAAGATATGTATTTATGATCCATAATAATCCTACAATATAACCAAAAATTTGTGTCAACTTCGTTTTTACTGATTCTTTACTAAAGTATCACAAGCTCAACAATACACTACCCAACTTTCAAATGAAAAAAAACTACGTTGATTGAATATTGGACCTGAACCAAATAAAGAATGATAAAGAGTCCTCCGGAGTCTAATAGTTCTTACATATTGAGTTATACGTCTACGAAACTCTACTCTTTCTCTTGCTTTCTCCCATTTCTACAATTTTTTTCTATCTCCCAGCTTCCTAGTCAAGATTTGTGTTCGCCAATTATACTTAAAAGTAATATAGCAGGGATTAAATTGCAAGAGCATTTTCATACATTTTTCCATATGATAGGAATTCCAAAATTCGTGTCCTAACTGCATAGCCAGAATCCTCTAATCTTTTTTGCATCTACAATAATGCATTCACCAATATTTTATTAAGCTCAAGAACCTAGTGGTAAAGGCAAACTCCTTACAGGACACAATCATCATTGTTTAACAAGTTTTTCAAATTGAAGTGTCACATTCCTCTTTTAAACCTTTTCTCTTTCATTAAAATCTCATATCATTCATCAAGCTAGTACAAATTTTCATTTTTACGGAAAAGGTTTTTAAAAAAAAAGAGATGACAACATATAATGCGCTGCAAACAAATAGCTTAGAATAGCTAATGTTGAATGTGATTATATTGAGAAAGCACTTCTCTTGGTGCTAAATGGGTTGGAAAGTAAGTAAGCCTCGCGTCGTCGTCGTTGTCGCTCGGCTTCGGCCAAAGATTGATTGATTAATCTTTTTGGACAAATTTTTTTTAATTATTTAATAAACAAATATTATTTAAATTAGCCAAATATCCAACCCGAACTAGATCCGTGTGCGACCCGATTCACTTTCTTTTCAGAAACAGTATTTCCATTGGCTATAAATTCGTTTGATTCCTCAGATTTTTCCTTCCGAATTTTCTGAACTTCAAGACTTTTTCTTCTCGACAAATCTATTTCAGTGTGATTTACTACCATTGAGTGTTCGCTAACACTGTGATTTTTGGTACCAATATACCGGTGAGTTAAATCATTCTATCCTGTGAGTATAATATTCCAGCACCTCGGGTACTTAGGGGAATAATTTCCTTAAGGACACACTGTGCATTCAGTGGCTCGATTTATTCCTTTCAGATATTATTTCGACATTCTGTTGCTGCTAACTTTCTGTTTCTGTTTTCAGTTTCAGAAAGATTACTGTTTCATTATTTATTATAATAATACAGATTGACTAATAATCTTAAGAAAATTATTTATTGTAATTTGTATTCTATTTTTGGAGATTAAAACCTGTGTGGTTTTCTACTCCTTCTAAATTTTTCTGTTCTGATTTGAAGATATAAAAACTTCATCGGAGTATTAAAATTTAGAAACGATTTGAAGAACATAAAAATTTCATCGTTTTCTGTGAAACAGTATATAAAAACTTCGGTTTTTATTAAACGTACTGTTTATCCAAAATAATCGCCAGACATAGCTGTCAAACGCTCTCTCTGCCAAATGCTCCATCCCCATCCCCAACGGTCAAAAACCAGACCAAACATTCGCAGGCAGCCAGTGACCACCCCCAATTTGTT